CCCAGATTTGGAAACTATGTAATTCTCATTTTAGTGATGGGGACTGGAGGCTCAGAGAGGCTAAGTTACTTGCCCCAGGTCACCAGCTAGTCAGTATGCCCCCTGCTTCTTTCCTGACGTGGAACTATCTACATGTAACAGCACAACATGATGGAAGATTTTTTTTACCCTTTATGCAACTATAAATACATCTGTAGGGGTAGGATCATAGACTAAGGTCAGGCAGGACACATACAGAGGGTGTGCGAATGGAAGGAGGACCCTGGGGTGTGTTGTGGTTAAAATTATGGTTCTGGAGTCCTCCCTGCTCTACCTCTTCCTAGCCACAGAACTTGGGGCCGTCCTGTCACATGTCCAAGCTTCCGTTTAGTGCAGATAAAATGAGAATAATGTGAGCTATTGTGAATTAAATGTATTAATGTTTTTTATTAACTTTTAGAGAGAAAGGAAGGGAGAGAGAGAGCGAGATACATAAATGACAGAGAGTACCATCTATTGGCTACCTCCTACACCAGCGGTTCTCAACCTGTGGGTAACAACCCCTTGGGGGGTTGAACGACCCTTTCACAGGGGTTGCCTAAGACCATCGGAAAACACATATATAATTACATATTGTTTTTGTGATTAATCACTATACTTTAATTATGTTCAACTTGTAACAATGAAAATACATCCTGCATATCAGATATTTACATTATGATTCATAACAGTGGCAAAATTACAGTTATGAAGTAGCAACGAAAATGATTTTATGGTTGGGGGTCACCACAACATGAGGAGTGTATTAAAGGGTCGCGGCATTAGGAAGGTTGAGAACCACTATCTTACACACTCCCTACTGGGGATAGAGTCTGCAACCAGGGCAGGTGCCCTGACCAGGAATCAAACTGGCAACTGGTACATGGGTTGACACTCAACCACTAAGCCACACCAGCTGATCTTTACATATATTCTTTGTACTTACTGTACATACTGTATACCCTCAGTGAATGGCTGCCATCATCATCATCCTCATTAGTGCACTTATTATTATTACTATTATTATCATTACACAAAATGACAGCAGTGACTTAGCTGATTTCCTTGTTTTATGTCAGAGAATCTTGAGACAAGAGAACATGTAAGCTTCAACAAGGAAAAGAAAGAAAGACCTTGTGTTTTGTCAGTGGGCAAGGATTCCAGAAGTTGTAGGGAAGGTAGAATGGGCAGGCTGAGGGGTCACTGGTTAGAAACTGGACCCACCAAGTTAACCAATAATTCCCTCTGATCCAGGGACTGAGGGGTTTTCTTTCCTTCCATCATAGCTGACCTCCTGCACCCTCCAACCACCACACAGGACCCAGAGAATCAGGAGTCACTCACCGCCATGACCAGCTCGAATGGGTACTTGTAGATGCGGACAGGAGACTGGTACTTCTGCACCATATTCACACAGAAGCACCGACAGAAGCCACTCAGGTAGAAGTGAGCACAGAGCCTGGGAGACAGGTGACTGCTGAGGTGGCAGCTCCCTCCACATGAAGCAAGAAACTACCCCCTGCTCCACCATGTAAGGAGTAGGGCCACCCCCTCTAGCCCCACCCCCAAATCTCCCAGCCCTCAAAGCAAAGAACGCAATGTAATCCCCAAGGTATCCTCAGCCAGGTCCCAGCACTCACCCTGCAAGAGCAATCAGTACCCCAAAACTTTCTTTGGTCTCTACCGCTTCGCGTGGAGGCCCCCAGAAGCACCCTCACTGGCACTCACATGGAAACACACACATTCGCCATTCTTACACTCCCACAATTCACTGCACGTACCCCATAGCTCGCCACAGACATCCTCCAAGAATCACTGTATCTTCCCTCCCATTTCCTCCAAGATACCTCGACACACACAATCTTTACCAAATTTCGCACACACTGTCTCTATCTCACACACATACACACACGTGCAGGACTCTCCTCCCACGTGGGACCACTCTTGCACATGCATGTAACTTTCACACGCACTCAGTTCCCTGGAGCATGCACCTACCCAACTCTACCCACACACACTTCCTCTTGTGCACACAGACGTCCACACACACACACTGGTGCGCACGTGCAGGAGACAAACACAAACATGCACACTCGCATGCACGCAAGGGCCGGCTCACCCTCGCTGTCAGTCTGTGGGGACACAGCCCGGGGCAGCGAGGAACTCAGCCCTCCAGGGACCCCGTAGCCGCCTGGCTCCGAGCGCAGTGCCTGGGGCGAGGCCGGACCACAGTCGCGGAGCCTGGAGAGTCCAGCCCTACACACCCTGGGGCCGAGATGGCCCGGGAAGGGCCTGCGGATCGGGAGCGAGACCTGCCGGGCGGGAGCGCTCCAGGACCCGGGACAGCAGAGATCCTGGCCCGGCCCCGCCTCTGGACTGGCCACGCCCATTGGTGGTCCTGCCCACGTCCCCTCCCAGATTCACCCGGATCCCTGATTGGTCCAGCCGCTTCCTGGCCCGTCCCCGTCTTAGCCCCGCCTTTCATTTATTTCTCTTGTTTGACCACGCCCCAGTCCGGCTCTTCCTCCAGATTGGCCATACCTCGCTTGGGCACCGCCCCCATACCGGTTTCTCCCTTAAAGCACACAACCTCGGGAAAAGCCCAAACCCAGGAAGAGCGCCCCAAGGCTCCACCCCCAGCCTAGCTTTGCCTCGAGGGACCCTTGCCCCGCCCAATGCCTCCCCTCCTAGTACAGTTTACACTTGGCCTCTTCTGTAACTCGATCAACCTGCTGCTTGGACTCTGAGCTCCACTCCTCCCACTGGTCTCCCCTCAGTGCCCTCATGGTCCTGCTCCCAAGTCCCACCCATGCATCATTCATTCACTCTGCAAACATTTACAGAGCACCTACTAAGTGTCAGGCACTTCTAGGCACTGGAGAGTCATCAGTGAACAAAACAGACAAAATCCTTGCCATCGGAGAGTTTACATTCTTGGATTGGGGGTGCGGTGGGAGACAAATGTTAAATAAATAAGGCAAACACATAGTATGTGAGTTGGTGAAAAATGCCAAAATGAAAAATATAAGCAAGGGAGGGGTTCAAGAAACAAGTGGAATGAGGGCACAGTTTAAAACAGGGTGGACTGGGGTCTCCGTGGGAGGGTGACAGTTGTCCATCATCCTTACAGCCATCCCAGGACCCCCAGGGACCCAGCTTCTCTTCCATAAGCCCCTCTTTCCTCTCCCCATCTGTTTGGCCTGAAGGAGCCAAGAAGCTGGCTAAGAACAGTGTTGCCATCGTGTATTTATTAGACATTTACTGAGCACCTACTATGTGCCAACACTGGGTGACTTTACCCATTCACAAGGGGGAGTCTGACAGATGCACATGCCCTTGTGTGGCTCACAGCTCTGGGCAGGGAGTGGGTGTGTAGGGAGGCAGACACTCGGTTTATTAAACGTATCTTTTCACCCTGTGATACTCAGCCCCTGCTTTGTTCCTAGGTTGTATCACAGTCTATAATATTTTTTTATTTATTAATTCACTTTACTTACTTGTGGATTATTGATTGTCTCTTCTAGGAGGCTGTGGGCTTCGCAAGGTTGATACCATGTCTGTCTTGTTATCTGCCCCCAGGTGCATAAGATCTTTCTTTAATTACAGTTGACATTCAATATTACTTTATTTTAGTTTCAGGTGTACAGCACAGTGGTTAGACCAGTGGTTCTCAACCTTGGCTGCGCATTAGAATCACCTGGGAATCTTTTTAAAATCCTGATTTCTGGGCCTCATCCTCCGGACATTCTGTTTCTTCGTTATGGGATGGGGCCACAACATTGGTAACAAAGAAACAGAATTTCCGGAGGATGAGGCCAAGAAATCAGGAGTTTAAAAAGGTTCCCAGGTGATTCTAATGCACAGCCAAGGTTGAAAACCACTGGGTTAGACAATTATGTAATTTAAGAAGTGATTCCCCCGGTAATTCTAGTACCCACCTGACAATGCATAGTTATTACAATATTATTGACTATGTTCCCTAAGCTGTACTTTACATCCCCGTGACTATTTGGTAACTACTAATTTGTACTTCTTATTCCTGTCACCTTTTTCACCCAACCCCCTGAGTCCTGCCCCCATCTGGCAGCCCTCAGTTTGTTCTCTGTATCCATGAGGCTGTGTCTGTTTTGTTCATTTATTTTTTTCTTTAGATTCCATACATGAGTGAAATCATATGGCATTTACCTTCCTCTGTCTGACTGACTCAGGCATTCAGGATCCTGCTGGTGACCTGTGTGGCCAGTACGTTTTCTTGATTAGGGCTATGAAAGGTTGAAATGGAGCGCAAAGTTCCCATGCCTGCCGTAAGATGGCAGCAAACGACAGTTCATGGCTCCTGGGTGAATTGGGGGAGAGGGTCCTGGGATGTTTTGCTGTACCTGGACTCATCAAGGAAACTCGCCTGCTTTTCCTGAGTGTCCGTGCATGGACGTAGTGAGCTTTAACACAAAGCTATAATGATGGCACGAAAGGCGTTAAATTGCACAAAGTAACCACAGAACGGATGTTTGCACCTGGAAGGATGGGGCGGCAGTAGTCTGTCTCAAACTTTCCAGCTCCCTGCAACAGGGTGCATGTTAATATAGATTCCCGGGGATCTGCTGGATGCCGGGGATCCCAGGATGCTCGGAGTAAAAGCCGACCCTGGGGAAGAAGGTGGTGCGCTCCTAAGTGAGGGCGGTCTGCTCATAAGAGCTCCTCCCAGATGTGGGCGTGTTTCCACGCCCATTCATTCTCTTTTCGCTTTGCCTGAATCTTCCCCGACGCCCCAACCCACACGTGTCTCCTTTGCCACAGAAGGTGACAGCTTGGGGGAGCAGCAGCGGAGGGGGCGCCCCCAAGCAGAGCCAAAAGGCGCTGAGGAGAGGCCCTGAGACTGCGGAAGAGGGGCTGGGTTTCCTGGCTCCACCAGCCCAACCGGTGAGGGCATGACCCTGGATCGGGGGAGGGGTGCAACAGTGGGTGGGTATAGAGAGCTCACGGTGGGAAATGGGGCCCAGAGGCGAGTGAGAACCTAACTTCTTCCTGCAGGCCAAGGGAAGTAACTTCATCCCACCACCCACCTCTGGTTACCTGTTATGACCACTGTTCTACTAATTACCCTGCCATTTATGGAGCACTCATTGGCACTTGCTGTACCAGGCATTATTCTAAGGCCATAATGATGGGATTCTAAGGCTGTAATGATGAAAATGTTTTGGGACTCCATAGAGGTGCTGGTTGTACAGCATTGTGAATGCACTAAATGCCACCAAATTGTACACATCGAAATGGTTAATTTTACGTTATATGACTATCACCTAATTTTTAAAAAAAAAACTTTTTCAGGTCACAACTATTTTAATCTTCATTTTAAAGAAAAGGAAACTAAGCACAGAGAGGTTAAGTAACTTCCTCAAAGTCACACAGCTAGTAAGGAACCCAAACCCAGGACTCTGGTTCTCCAAAGCCTTCTTCCCTCAGGGCTGGAGCTTAAGTACCTAAGATCTGATTTCCCAGCCTGAGCTGAAAAGATAGCCAGGCATCCTGGGCCCTGGACTGAGGAGGTGCCAGAAGGATGGGGTGAGTTGAAGTCAGTCCCGGGGACAGGCCCTCCAAGTTCTTCCTACTTTCTGTTTCCTATTTGTCCTGTGGGAATGACCAAGCCAAAGCTGCCTCGCAGTGAGTTGTGTTTTGAAAACTCCAGAAACACCCCGTGTCTTTGAATAACTTCCCTGCAGGAAATTTAACCATTGGTGATGCATTTATTTGACTAAAACATTGGGCCCAATCCTAACACAGAGGCTCCTGGAAGGTGTCCTGAAGGGAAATGGTCTCAGTTGATACCAAGAGCAGGTGGCATGAAGAGGCGGGTGGAGTGAGAGGGTCCAGAGTCCAGACCGCTGTGGGACACAAGTGGTCCTAGATCTGGTTCCTATAATACAGAAGGGCCCTGGGATAGTGCTGAAGCTAAAGAAAGCTGGGTATGTTTTATTGTGTTAAAATGCACATAACATAAAATTTACCATTTTTTTAAGTATACAATTAAGTGGCTTTTAATACATTCACAAGGTTGTGCAACCAGCACCATTATCTACTTCCAGAACATTTTCATCACCCCAAAAGGAGACTCGGTCCCTTTATGCAGTCACATCTTCCTTCCACCAGCCCCCACCCCCCCCTCCGCCCTGCCCCCCAATCTGCTTTCTGCACCAATCTCATTTGTCCCAGGCTGCC